CAGAAAACTTCAGCAAAACGAGAACACAATCTACCAGCTGGCAGATTTTCAGTCGCCAGCACCAAGCGCCGGTGCTGTGCCAGGGGGCTGCTGGGGGTCCTGCGTGGAGCTCACAGTGCGCCGGCAGCTCCGGGCACCCACAGCCAGCGGAGGGGAGGAGGACGTGGTGTCGTTGTGTCTCCATCCTTCCTGCCTCGCCTCTTACGCTCTGACTGGTGGCTGGCTTTATCTCAGAAAGCTCAGAGCCGCTGTCCGTGTTTGATGATCTCAGCGCTACCCCCATGCCTGCCTTTGAGGTAGTGGTAATGCTGACCCGAGTCCTACCCCTCCCAGGGTGGTCCAGTGTCCCTGGGGAGCTCTCGGGCACAGAGTGACACCCTGTAAATCCCCTCTGTATGCTTTGGCTTCCTCTCTGGTCCAACATGCAAAAATCAGTACAAAATTTTATCCGGGGAAACTAACAGGCGGCTATCTCCTGGGGGAATTTTCTAGCGGGGGCCAGAACCACTTGCTGTAGAAGGTGAACGCAGCAGGGCGGATTTTTTGCAAGGTCCCAGCTCTGTTTTGGGACCATGGACGGGCCTTTCACATAAGGCAGCACAAGACCAAACCTTCTACGGGGTAGCCCTTTGCTTTGTTATACCTCACAAAACTCCTCCAGGGTGTGCTCATTTCTCCCATACCTCTTCTCCTCCAACTTGCCCCAGGTTTACTATAATAAAGCAAAAAGAATAAAACCGGACTAAATGAAAGCAGTAAACCCACCACTTTCAGTAGCATTTGATGTCTCTCCCCACTCCCGATGCTGTCACTATCCCTTTGCAAAGCAGAGATGATCCAGAGCTTTGCAGTCCCCCTCTCCAGCCCCCTCCTGCTTGTGAGTTTGAAGGTGGACCACAAGTTGCTGCCAAAAGATGTCCCTTCTCTACACGCGGGCGTGACTGGATGGCGCGGGAGGGAACAGCTGCTGCCCCGAAAGGGCTGAGTGACCTTTGAAGAAAAAGGTTCTAGGGCAAGCTGTTTGATATGCAGGTAGCCAAAACTGCCCACACTACTCTTTGGCAAGGCTACCTGTCCCTCGAGGGTGCCATGGGATAGCAGAGAGGACTCTGCACAGAGGAGCTACCTGCAAAGGATGGGAGAGACTATGTTTTGGGAGACTGGCTTTCCTGACTTTGTTGGGATGTCAGAAATGGGATTGAGACGGTTGAAATAAAGTACAGCTGCCCCGGGCACTTCCATCATGGTTTCTGTCGGCCTGCAGGGCAAGGGAACAGCTCATACATGCCAAGCAGAAATGAGGAGAGGCTGAACTGCATGAGTCGTCGTCTCTTCGAGGCAAATAAGCTGGACTTGTCTGGCCTTGGTCTATACTGGGCACAGGTCATGAAGGCTCCTCACTTCCCGGACGGCAACCACATGACCCATCTTCCCCAGTCACTGCGTCCGGTGGGGCACCCAGTAGGGCTCTTAGTACGTGTCGGGCCAACTCGGGCTAAACCTCTCCTTTTGATCTGAGAAAGAGCGGAGAGAGAAGGGAAATCTATTTGTGTCTCAGGGCTGTACCTTAAGGAAAACCGTGGCCTTTCTGGGGCAGAAAGCCAATCATCTGTGTATTTGGGATTTCTTGTTGTGAGCAAGCTGGGTGCTGTGGAACGTTTTCAAGACTGCTCGGTGACCTACAAACACATCTCTGCCTCTCAGGGAGGGGCTCATCCCACTTGGGAGTTCTGAGAAAGGAATTTTGGTAGCGGTTGGATATAGTTATGTGACAGGAAAATGACATCAAGCAGCACCCTATGGCATCACCAGTCACGTTCTCAGCAGGTAGGTATAAATCAGCGTCAGAGGCAATGCCTATGTGGCCTTGAGTTTCCTGGGATTAAAAGCAGTAGTTTGGCATTATTGCTCAGCAGAAGCCAGGAGGTCCAGGACCTTTTTGTGTTTATGGCACAGTCCTGTTGGGACTGTGGCCAGGATTTGGGGGGTTTAGAGGTGGGGCGTTACTTTAAGGCACTTACTCACCTGTTCCTCAGTTACACTAGAAGTTTGCTGGATGGTGGCACAGCTCACAAGTTTCCCAGTCTGCTGTCCCTAGGAAACGTATGACTAATTTGCTGCGTGTATTTTGATGGTGTGGAAGAAAGCGGAACACTTCTGCTGACTTTGTGATTGCGGGATTGGGTGCCAAAATGTGGGGACCATCGTGGTCTCCAGCAAGCTAGGCTCTCAGAATTGCATTATTGCCTGTGCTCATGGCAAAGGGATGCTGCAGGGCAGCAAGGTCTCTGTGCCCTTGTGGAAGCCAACCCTCCCTCCATCTCCGGCAGCATCCTGCCTCCGCTGTGAAGCTGCAGGCTCCCAAAGGGACCAGGGGTTTGTGCTACTTATTCTGATAAATTTTGGAGGCTCTTGGTTTAGGTTGTTTTGTTTTAAATGAAGAAAAATTATTAATAGAGAGCTGGGTTAGAGCAACTGTCCAGGGCAACGTGCCCTTATTAGGCAGCCTAAGATGAGAAGCGGAAAATGTGTGTTTTTGCCCTGCCTCTCCCAGTGTTTCTGTAAACTAATCTGTTTCTAACTTGCTCGTAATTCTTTTAGGTGACGCAAATCGTGAGCATCTGGTCCAGGTCCGCCTTGTTTGAACTGAGACCTGCCCAGCCACTGAGCCAGTTTACAATCCATTAGCATGTTTAGAATACAGAATAATCTCTCTTCCAAGTACAGACAGACTTTTCTCATAATATTTAGCGCTGTTTCACTTTCTTGAAAAGAGACAAATAAGAGTAATGCCTGAGCTGATCTGCTGGAAGAGGGCTCCTCGTCAGCACGGCCAGCCCGGTAGATGTGGGGTGGGGAGCACGTGTGTTTCACAGCACGGGTTGGTGTTTCGCAAACGCCATCACCCAAACACAGAGGAGAGGGAAGGAAAAGCAAGGAACGAAAGGTGATCACTGTACCACAATGACAAACAAACTTGTGTGTCTTTTATTGAAATAGTTACAACTGTAGCTCTGGAAAAAAAGACTGTGAATGCATTGTCGGTGTTCATGTGTGAGGGAAATGATGGCAGGCGGGGGGGGTTGTATTGCAATTATATACACCTTTCATTATACAAGGTGATCTGGGACAGAGAGTGCCGTATCTGAGGGTTAAACACCCCGCACATATAACAAATCAAACTCTATACACCTTGGAAAGCAGGCTCTAGGCTTCCCCCTCTCTCCCCTGCCCGGTATTTGATGGCGTGAATTTGGAGTGCTGGGCCAGCTTCCCGGCACACGGGCAGCCGGCTGACGAGCGGAGGCAGCCGTACGTACCTACTGCAGCGGTGCAGAGGTGCCTTCCCCCTCTGCAAGGCCTGCAACACGGCATGTGGCAAGCAACTCCAGGTATGGCTATTTGCAGACACTCAGCAACTTGCAGGGGGCACTTACTCCACGAGGACTACCTTTCCATCATTAGGATTCATGTATTTCTCTTGTCCTTCCCCCATTCACTGTTAATTGAGTAAAAGGAGCGTCTCTCTGAGAGAAATCACACGTGACTTTCAACTGAAACATCCTGAACCTTTTAACGTTTGAGACTTTCCCCATCGTTTTCGTAACGCTTGTCAAACTAACATGGTGCTCTCAGCTTCTTTTCAGAGCTCAGCTGGCAGCATCCCAGCCCTCTCAGCAAGTCCCGTTATGGCTGTGGTGCTGCTGAGCATTGCTTTGAGTGGAATCACGGGGATGCACCAAGAGTCCACTGGCCGCGTTTCTTTAGTGGTGCAACACAAGCAGCCTGCTTAGCGCATCTCCGCCTGGCACTTCTCCAAACTTAATTCTGCTGGAGCACGCCGGGCCATGCACTACGCTGAGCGGGAACTCAATGCTTCTCTGAGACAGCATCAGTGTTGTTGAGGTCTGGACAATCTCAGCTTATGGACTCAGCTTATTATGACAACTTTCTGGCCAGATGGGGCTTTGCTTCAGCATCCACTCAACAACATTCTTGACAACTTCCACAACTCCTTGACCTCATGCTAAAGCCAAATCCTGCTTAAGTCCCTCTCAGTATGACTAGGAATTTGATTAGTTGCCCCATCCACACTGCCTCTGGAAAGGGCCTTGTGAAATGTCACCACCATTTACAGAAATACAATTTCACCTTTTACTAGGACTAAAAGGACCGGCTACTCCCAGAGGACAATGAAGAAGACAAATTTCATAGCCCTGCCAAAGTGACAGTGCTAAAATCCTTTATAGTAACTGCGGCTCTGTCAAATGCTAGCTTTGGGGGAGGTATGAGAAGAGAGAACCAATACACAATTAATTGGAGAAAAAAGCAATTGTGGGGTTAAAATGTTACATATGCCATCTGCCAGTGAAAGCTGGGCTTTGGGCTCCATTTGGTGTTTCTGAAACCCAGCCTCAAACAGTAACCAACGCAGACTGTGAGCCAGACCACCGGGCGGCAAAAGATGAGCAGAGAGAAGCAGCAGTGATTTCTGGGACAGAGGTAAAGAACCTTCTTTTGGACGAAAAGTGATGATGAACAGTGAATAGTGGAGGATTTTGTGCAAGCGTAAAGATTTTTAACTAATTCTGATGGAGCATTAGCTGTCCCAGTTCTCCAGTCATCCACACACATCAGCAGCTGACTGGAGAAAATAAAGCAGAGTTTCTCCTTTCCTGCTTTAAAAAGAAACGGAGTCAGACCCTGTACATGTCAGCTGATTCACGGGCAGGGAGAGTCTGGTTGACATTCAGCCCACTAGACATCCAGCTGGTGAAGTCTCTTCTGTAGAAAAAGGGTGTAAAGGAAAAACAAAAACACCCCCCCCCCCCCCGCCAAAATGAATGTTAAACCCCAACATTACATACACATTAGCATCACTTTACACTTACTGCCCCACGCAGCCTGCTAGATTCTTCACACCCTGATCATATCTTACAGAATATTTTCTGCTGCACATACACAAAATAATAATATCCAGTTCTTCCACATCCATCTCCCTAGACAAACGTCTCTTCTGCGAATGCCGCTGTATCACGCTCCTCTGTGGCCACCTCTGCCAGCGGCCACCCCACCCTGCTCCGAAGGAGTTCATTCTCCACTGCTTCTGCCTCAGCCGCGGGACAGGTCTTGCTTTCATCGTGCCTGAAATACTCCCTGACAGTGTTTCGAATGGAGGCAGGGAGGATGATACGGATGGTGTGGCTGAACGTGTTGAAGCCCTTGCTCTGGGTTGGCGCCTGCGCCATTTCCACTGGCTTGCTCTCCAGCTCCTCAGGAGTGGAAGCACTTTGGGGGCTCTCTTTGTGCTCTCCCTGGGGGGACAGGATCATCGGTTCATGGTGGTAGCGCCTGGAGATGGACTGCAGGACAAGGGGGGTATTCTGCCCATAGAAAACTGTCTGGGGGATATGGACTCTCACAGTCGGCAAGGTCTTGGACAGGCTTTGCTCACTGCTGCTGCTGGGTGAGTCACGGCTGGGGGGGGTTTGCATGGATCTTTCCTCT